TCTATATAGTACAAATACATGTATTGTATACATTCACCGTGTGTATGTTTTTCATAGTAAATTGTTAAGATGATAATTAAGGGTATATTATATCTGCAGGGTATGAAAATATAAACTTAAAAGATTAAAAATAAAATCAAAACTAAAATAAAGCCCCAATACAACAAAAGCTAGAGGTTCTAATATTCCTTTTGCCAAAAAAAGGTATTTTAGAAAATAAGGGTCAATAATACCAATTCTTGGATTTTGTTTAAGTAGCTAATGGGGGAAGAAGAAAAGGAAAAAGAATCAGCTTATGTAAGTTTTATTGAGCTTATTTCTGTGGTAGAGCCTCACCTAGCTGTTACTGCATCAGGCTTCTAGAAACCATCACTCTACTGAGTTGTTTGGCTCATGGAAAATAAGTCGGGGTCTAAGGCAAAGCCTTTAATGACATTCTGTTTGATTCTGGCATTCTATTCTCCCCTTTGTTGCTCACCGTTGCCAGTCTAGAGCTGTGAACTAGGGTGACTGCTTCTCTATCTAGCAGTGCATTCATTCGGTGGAGAGGTGACATTCTTTTAGCATCCAAACGGAGGCAGACATATTTAGAAAATGCTGAGAGGGAATATTCAGAAGTGCCAAAAGAGGGCTTTGCTAGTGTCACAGAGGTTTTTTCTCTGGGAGTCTGACTAGGGATCACATAGTGTTCTAGAAGCCTAGGTTGTTAAATAGCTTGTTGTGTATGATATTTTTCAATCCCTTCACTAATTATCAAGGGACAATTTTAAGCATCTGCTATAAGAAGAGCATGCTACTCTGCTGAGAGCTGCAGGAATTCAAAGGTCTTTCCCATTTCTCTGGCTTGCAAAACTTTTCATCAATCTGGATCCAACTCAAATGTCACCTCCTTTGTAAAGTCAAGCAACCCAGAAAAGTGATGTTTTCTTCCCAGCCCTATCCACCTACAGTCCTTTGCACAGACATTAAATATAGCACCATCATCCTGCAGTCTGATTATCAGTTAATGTCAATCTCCTCATTTAGGACTATGTATCCCTTAAAGCAATGATCATTTCTTCTTTATGTAGGTATTCCCAGGGACCAGAGATTTTGAGTTTTTCCGTCTCAATATTTAGATACAGTGGAATTCTCTGTTTTTTCTTTTCTTTTGTTTTAATTGGAGAATAAAGTAAAAAGAGATCAAAATACATGAAGGAAATTTTTGAGTAAGATAGCATCCAGAAAATATGTGATTTCTTTTCTCTGAGTATTACAGATTAATGTTTTACAGGGAATAGAAGAGCAAGCTGTCTATCTTTGAGAAATTTCAATCAGTAACAACAACAGTGGGGAATTAACAGATGAAATTTGTTGAATAACCGCCAGAAGTTCACTGTGGAACTTCTACGAGTGCAATTCCTTACTACAACCCTATGGAGTGTCATTATTCCAATTTAACAGATGATAAACAAAGCCTTATTAGTTGCCAACTATGACTGAACATTAGAATCATTTTGGAAGATTTTGTAAAAATGTCATGGTTGGGCCCTATAGCAGAGCAACTGTAATGGAGCCTACTACCGTGTTTCCCTGAAAATAAGACAGGGTCTTACATTTATTTTTCCTCAAGAAGACACCCTAGGGCTTATTTTCAGGCGATGTGTTATTTTCCCCTCAAAGCTTCAGCTTGCAGCAAGTACAGGATGGCGGGGACCTGACAGGGGGAGCCGACCTTGTTGGTGGGGCTGCCCGCACCTTTCTGGTCACGTCTGGGATGGCAGCTGTCATGATGGGGCAGATGAGAAGGGCTGCTTGTCTTCTTTACCACTCTGCAACAAAATGCATGGGTTGTGCAGATACGCTGCGTAGCCACACCCATCACCAGGTCTTGTTTTCGGGGTAGGGCTTATATTGTGCAAATGCTTAGAAATCCTGCTAGGGCTTATTTTATGGGTAGGTCTTATTTTGGGGGAAACACGGTAGTTGCACACCAAGCTCCATCCTGCTCTTTGTCCATAGTAGTTATAATGGAGATATAGCTGCACAGCCAGGGAAGATACTTCCAAGCCTCCTTTGCAACTGAGTGAGCCACGTACCATTAGTAGAACCCGAATGGAGGTGATATGCATCACCTATCCCCACACATGCACAATAGCCCCACTAAGCAATCTTGTTTTTGGCTGACTAGAGCAGGGGCATAGCAATCTATCCTTGCCCATGCAGGTGATTTAAGGGCCTTGGATATACGTTGTCCAAAACAGTAAATACTGGCCATACCTGGCTACCTACATGAAAAAAAAATTTTTTTTTTTGAGACAGAGTCTCACTCTGTTGCCTGGGCTAGAGTGCTGTGGCATCAGCCTAGCTCACAGCAACCTCAAACTCCTGGGATCAAGCAATCCTTCTGCCTCAGCCTCCCGAGTAGCTGGGACTACAGGCATGTGCCACCATGCCCAGCTAATTTTTTTCTATATGTATTTTTAATTGACCAATAAATTTCTTTCTATTTTTAGTAGAGACGGGGTCTCGCTAAAGACCCCGTCAGGGGGGTTGCTGGTTTCAAACTCCTGAGCTTGAGCGATCCTCCTGCTTGGCCTCCCAGAGTGCTAGAATTACAGGTGTGAGCCATCGCACCTGGCCAATGAACATGAATTAAATTTAAATCAAAGTAAAGTTTAGTTCCTCAGTCACACTAGCTATTCTTCAAGTGCTCAAGTGCCCTCTGTGATAAGTGGCTGTCATATTGGAAAGCTCTTTCCACCACTGCAGAAAGTTCTCTTGGACAGTGCTGTCCAAGGGGTGGGGTAGCCACATGATGACCCAGGAAAGAGCCTGTATCCATGCATCTCCATGTGTAGAGACCCACTTGCTGATGTTGACCATCGGGCTGTTATGTGAATGAGAAATATTTTCTTTCATTAAACCACAAAATTGGGGGGCATGTTTCCTATAGCCCATTAGCCTGCCTTTACTTTTTTTATACTTTATTTGCATAAATTTAAGGGGTACAAGTGCGATTTTGTTGTGGGAAGGACAGACATGAGTGTTCATCTCTGTGTAACCAATCCCAGAATTCACTCAGGATTAAAGAGCTGCAGATATTGCTCAAAAACACTGTACAGGCACAAACACAGATGTCTGCAGCAGAAGATTGGATGAAGACATACAATAGACCACCTAAGGCCCTGAAGGAACACTGGAGTAGACTTTCTTTGCCAAATATGGGCATTCAAAATCAGATTATATGGGAGAGAATTTAGAAAACCATGCACATGATCAGACAAGCCCTGAGAAGACCCTGAGCTTTCAAATCAGGCTGTCCCTAGGCTCAATGCACAAATCCTAAGTGTTGAAAGAGTTCCTCAGTACATGGACACTCTCCAAAGATTGAGAGAGGGGTTTTTGTTTGCTTGCTTGCCTGTTTATTTCTGTGTGTGTGTGTGTTGTTTTTCTCTCTCCTTTTCTCTCCTCTCTGTCTCATCTTAGCTCCTGGTGTTCAAGGAAATCTCTGTCAAAACTAGCTAAACGTGAGCTAGGGAACAGAAATTTTAGTGACCACACATGATAAAGAACACAATCTTTGCAAAAATAGTTTGAAGATGTTATTAAACATATGGATTACTACAGTTGTCAATAATCAGGAAAAAAAAACAACAGCAAAACCAAAGGAAAAAAGAGAATATGATTTACAGAGTCATTGCATTATAGTATTCAAAAGTCCATTTTTCAACAAAATATCACAATGTATTCAAAGGAACACAATAAATTGTTTCTATTTATTGTTCCAATCAATTACAGAAACCATTCCTGAGGAAGCCTAGACTTACTAAATATATTCAAAGAGCTAATGGAAAACATGAACAAAGAACTAACAAAAATAAAAACATAAGAAACATTATATATGAAATAATTAGAGTAGTAAAAAGATAGAAATTATTGCTTAATATGTACAAAGTTTCTGTTTGTGTTAATAAAAATCTTTTGGAAACAGTGATTATGGATATACAACATTGTGAATGTAATTAATGCCTCTGAATTTTCCATTAAAATTGTTAAACTGGCACATTTTATATTACATATATTTTACCACAATTATATGTATATATTATATATATTATATCTACATACATACACACATACATATATAATTATCAAATACAAAAATGTACATCAAGGTTTACAAAGGTTTCTTTGGAAACTTCTTTTTCACTTGAGTGAAGTCAGTTCCTATTACCAGTGATAAGATTTATATGCCCATCCCAGACAGTGCTTAATAGAGCTTTAGTACATATGTAATATGTTCATAATAAACAATTATCAAATTAAATAATATATTATTAAATTAAATAATAGAGTATATAATTTATTATTGACTAAGCTACAGACATGCACATCTTGAATCTCTAAGGAATGGCTAATACTGACCAAATCAGATCACTCTCTCTTTTAGTTTCCTTTCTCATGCACTTGCACATCTACACACATTTATTCCTTACTTAATTCTTCCAATTCCATTCCAAGGGTGGTAGCAGAAGAATCATAGAAAAAATTAGAATATAATTGGACAAGGAATCAAATTATAAAACAACAAGAATGTCAAAAAAAGAAGTGTTTTAAAAGTTTGAGACAGAAGATGATTAATGGCCAAAGGACGAAATTCACCTGCAGGTAGAAATGATAGAACATGAGAGCTTGCATATGACCAAAAACCCAAAGAGAAAGGGGAATAGATGCAAAAGCAGTGACTGTACACATAGAGAGAAAACCTTACATTTAGAAGGCAATAAAGCTTAGAGTTGAGGGTAAAGTCAATACCACTATATTTTAGTATATAACCTATAAAACTGTAGGTACTTATAATATCATACAAAAATAACAAATGGCACCCAGAGATATAAAGGTAAATAAAATAAGAATGATGAAATATTACTATATACTTGTAAAACTTTAGCAAGGTATTGAGCTCATAATAAAATATAATAAATATTTGACCATCGAATGATGTATTAGCTCATGAATCCTTAAAAAGTGATAAAGCCATTTATTCAGGGCTAATGCAGCAGAAAAGATAAAGATCTCTGAGAGAAACCATGCTTTATGCTGTCGCTGGCTTCAACAATACACAGGCTGGGCATGGACACTGGGAGGAACACGTGGGGCCGGGAAAGAGAAGAACAGAAAACAGCCACGGGATTCCCAGGAAGCATGAAGTCGGGTTGAGTTGGAGGCAACAATGGCTTCCTGGAGAATGAGGATAGAAGCTGATGGTTAGAAAACATACTGAATAAGGGTAAGACTGGGGGTGTTAAAACAACAAAGCACAGTTAAAAGTACAACACACACAAGCTTAATTGCCAGTAATTTTTGGAAGATTAGGTATGTAAGCTGATGTACACTGGTAAATGACATTATAGTATATTCCACTTCATTTCTGTAGACTTTGAAATATATGAATTAATATTTTTTTAAAAAGGAAGTTTATACAGATTGAGAATAAAACAGGCATGGTTTTTAGTTGTTTTGTTAAATAACTAATTTATCTATGCAATGTCTTTCCATCCACAGAGTCAGAAACAGTGGTAAATATAGATTATAATGAATTGGTGGGTGGGACACAGATGTATCAGTGTAATTAATAGCAGCAACAAAAATGTGGAATTAGAGAATTTTCCAGAGAATTTGGAAAATGGGTTAATTTTGGAATTCTAAGTGTTCCTATCTCTCCAATCCTTACTGGTTTATTAGAAGTATTGTGGCTTATGGCAAAAAGACTGGTTTAAAATTGAAAGAATGTTCAACCCTTGGGAATAACGGTATGCTTCAGTACTATGGTGCAGCTCGTGTAGGGAAGGACCAAAATGTCTTGAAATTGTATCCAAAACTGATCTTTCAGATAAAAATGTATTTTACAAGGAAAAAGCTATAAATATAGTTATTCTATAATTATTAATGTCATCATTAATATATTTGTGCTTTTTTTCTTGTTTTTTAGGAAACTGTGCTGTCAACGGCAGTTAAAGAGTCATGTACTTAAATTTCATTTGGAAAAGCAAATGCACAAAACCTGAGCTAATCTGAAATTTTTCTTTAACAATAAGATTAATTTGCTTGCACCAGAACCACATGGAAGGTTTCATTATTGAGCGCTGAAAGAATATCAGCTTAGTAAATCAGGCAAAATGTTGAAGCTTTTGAATATACATGATTAAATAATTCAGGTGACAAACAGAAATATCATAAACTAGTCCAAAATCCAAGGAATCCAGAATCTAACTCAATCTCTATTGGAAGATTATTCATGAATACACATAACACTTTGGGAAAATTAAGTGCATATCATTTTGGAGCAACATGATGATTATATATCATGATTAAAATTTCTGACAGTAAAACTGAGGGTGGCATGGAAACTTATTACAGATAGTTTCTTCAACAGTGTTCTACATTTGAACACTCAAATCTTTCTTCAATAAGGGCATCAAAAGGTTGTAACACACCTAGGGGAGTCAGAACAATTTCACTGCACCCAGAGTGTTCTTTTATGAAATCTTTTGTGTCTTCTCTAGGGGAACTGGTAAAGTTCACATCCTGTCTCCATGTCTTATCTGAATTTCTATGTGCACTTTCTTGTCTTGAAACTATTTGAAATTACATCTCTACTTTGTCAAAAAGCAAAATCAGATGTCAGCGAGGGGTTAAGATTCTATATTTTCTGGAGAGACAAGATAGTATAGGTTGAGCATCCCTAAATCTAAAAATCACAATCCCAAATGTTCCAAACATTCAAAAATTTTTTAGTGTTGACATGACACCACCACAAGTGGAAAATTCTACACCAGACCTCATGTGGCAGGTCATAGTCAAAACACAGGAGCACAACATGCTGTTTATTCAGCATCCTCATAACATAGACTCTTCCTCATCCCTAGAGGGCCCATTTATTGGTCTCTACCTGCTTCTGATACTTTTTCTCACTGAAAAAAATAAAATACAGTGCTACAGTAATCTTTTAAACAAAACACAGCTTCATAGGCAGAGACTGAAGGCCTACCATGGTTTGTTGTTGCTATTATTTAACAGCCAATATAGGTATTTGGTGATGCTGCTGTGCTCCTTAGTTATCCTAAAAACATTTTGTTCATGGTATTAATGTCATGTCATATTATTTACTGTTAGGTACCTCTGTGTGATTAAGTGCAAGAAAATGGTTGCTATAGGTAGCATGTAAATTCAAAGCCAGGAATGATAAGTGATGCTAAACAACCACAGATTGTCTACCTGGGTGGCTGAGATAGTAATGCTTTGGTTTTCTGATGCACATAAACTTTGTTTCATGCACAAAATTATTTAAAAAATTATGTAAAATTACCTTCAGGCCATGTGTATAAGATGTACACAAAACACAAACAAATTTTATATTTAGTCTTGGGTCCCTTTCCCAAAATATATTATTTATATGAAAATATTCTAAAATCTGAAAAAAATACCAAATCTGAAACACTATGGTTTCAAGCATTTCAGATAAAAGATACTCAACCTGTCATAACTAGTAACTCAAGGTCAGGCCTCCAAATTCCTGCTACTCCCACCTATAGGCCTAGAGAATATCTCTCCTGAAGGTTTTTTAACTTGCCATCTGGATTTCTTAGGAAAAAGTTCTATTTTCCAACTTATGATAACGGAGCTCAAGTGGCAATTTTTTCAACAAATTCCAAGTAAATCTTCATTTTTTAATGGTATAGCTATTGAATTTACTCATAAAATAGCAGAATATGTCAAAGGACTGACTCTGCATATCTTACAGCATTGTAAAATGAACCCATTCATTAAAGGCCATTTATATGAATGCAGGATGTAGCCAAAAGAGTCGAAAAGTGTGTCAAAGTGAAGAAGGCTGCTGAAGGTTACTAACACAGCTGAGACAGAAACAGCCTTACCTACCATCTTTGTAAAGAGCAAGACTAATCACAGAGCAGAGATATGCATTGTTAGAAAGTCTAAAAAATTAACAAAGCCTCATCCCAAAGTGATTTGGAAAATATTTTCTTTAAAACATTCTTTGGTAGATGAGTTGAAATATAATTTTTTTCATATTGGGTAGACCTTCAGGTTCTTAGACCAGCTGCAGCACACAATGGGACCTCATTAGTTGAACACACCCTTCGGGCTTCCAAGACTATTACTGGCGATATTTGGCACCTGTTCATTCTGAGGGACACAGGACAGGAACCCCAGCTCACAGGTGAGAGCAAACTCCCAACATGCTACTCAGCTTTCTGGGATCTGTTTTCTCTGGCTCTTCAGGTGACAGCTCATGTGTGAAGAAACCAGACTCACATTGACACAGTGCAAGGACTTCCTCAGCTTAGAAGTGTCATGCCTCACAAGAGCCAACACAGTTTGTAACAATCCCACACATGTCATTTCCAGGGTCTCTGCAAGAGATGCGTCCTGTTGCAAGAGTCACTGTGAGCAAGGAAGCTCAAAGCTATAATTAACTAGTAAGTGTTCATCGTTCAAGTGTAATTTGCCAGTCAGGGATCATATTCTCCATGAGAAATACTTCTTGTAGCCTAATAATGGACAACCCAACTTTTTTCAGGTTGCAGGGAAAGTTAACTGATGGTCAAATTTTTGTACAGAAGGGAGAAACGTGTTTCTTAATTTTTTAACTCAAGTTGACATTTCTCATAGCAAGTTCTGTGAAGCAATTTTTTTCCTTTGTGATATATGCAAGTGCTAAAAATTTCTTGAAAGAAAAGAGTGAATAGAAAAATGAAAGGACATTAGTAAAAAAAGACAGGAGGGAGAAAAGGAGGGAGGGAAAAGAAAGGAAGGGTGATCTAGCACCTCTTGTATTATCCTGGATAGAGCTGGAGCCCAGTCTACTAAGTGAAGAATCACAAGAATGGAAAAACAAGCACCACATGTACTCACCGTCAAATTGGTATTAACTAATCAACATTTACGTGCACATATAGTAGTAACGTTTACTGGGTGTTGGGGGAGAGGATTGCTATATACACACCTAATGGGCGCAGTGCACACCATATGGGAGATGGACACGCTTGAATCTCTGACTCAGGTGGGGCAAAGGCAATATACATAACATAAACATTTGTACCCCCATAATATGCTGAAATAAAAAAAAATTTTAAAGAGAGGGAAAAAAGAGAAAGATACAGTTCATTGACAAACACCTACTAAACTTCATATATTAATGTGAATTTTGAAACTCCTGGAGGAAAATATAGCGTGTAATTTCCGCTATACATTAGGTAGTGCCTTGTATGCCACTAATCTCCAGTACGCCTCACATTCTTTATTGGTAGGTACAAAGAACACAAGTCCTTCACTTCCCAGAGCCATTTTACTATTAAAAAAAAAAAAAACTAGTACATAATGCTGCTGCAAATAAAACTACAGAGTTAAATAGCATTTTTAAATATAAAAGACTTTCTTAATTTTTCTTTAGTTAGTACAGGTCATATTACAGATCTTCAGTCACTTTTGGAATTTTCTTGGCTACAAGGCTCTATCCTGATTTAAATTCTGTGTAGAAAAATGAGTCAACCAGGAGAGCAACAGAACTGCACTAAATCATTTTAGTTTGCATTTTGGCTTTACCACATGGGATTGTACTGAAATAGAATTTAATTCACATTAAATTAGAGTGACAGGTGGGGACCCAGGGCAATTTAAAATTCTATAAAATAGAAAAATCTAAATTATAGTAAATGAACACTTCTGCATGTATCAGAATATACGATGGTGATATTATAATAAATGCAAGCTTGTTAGGCCTAAGTTCCAGAACCAATATCACACTCTCCTCTATGGACTGAGGATTTTCTCAATAATTTTATACCTACTGTTCTCTATATAGAGTTTAAAATTTTGAATGTTTGATTTTTTTTAAGTCAGATAATCCCATAAGGATATACACATGAGAACATGAATTTGTGAAGAAAATGAATTTCTGTGCATAAATGATGATAGGGAGTTAAAGATATCTTCAACTTCCTCACAAATGCCCTTTTTATTACTTGACTAGGGATCCAATTAACAAATAAACTACACAGAGAAAGACTTCTTGTAGCATATTAAATTGAATGACTGATTCCAGGAAGGTTAGTGCTTTTAGACAAGATCACCAACAGCTCGCTGTGAATAAAAACTCCACGAAGGGCGGTGCTGGGAAAACACGATACGTTCCTTCTCATCTTCTGGACCAATACGGAAATAGAGTTTATGGCCACATATTTCAAATCTTGATCAGTGGGAAAGCCTGAGTCCTGGCACAAATGTAAACACGGGCCATAAATTAGCCATAAAAAGGGCGCTACACTGTTCAGGATGCAGGGCTCTGTCTAAATTTACAAGCTGTTTGCAGAGCCTCTGAGGCTAATGGATGAATAAAATATTCCAGCCAACTAGTAGAGTAACTACTATGCATGATTGAAAAGTACTGTGGCTGACCATTCTGATTAATGAGGGGTAAATTACTGTTAATGCTTGGCATAAATGTCACGGGCTCTATTTCACTAAGCAGCATCCAGGGCGCTATAAGGGCTCCACTGGTTTAAGAGCTACAGATGAAACGACGACTAATTAATCACTGGGAAGTTTTAGAATTGTGTAACGCTTTCTGGTCAAAAGCAGAACAGCCCTTTATGTGCTGCCTAAGGAGGGAGCCATTCTCCCTTTGTCTGACCATGAAGTGGGGTGGGGTTTTATCAGCTTTTCAGATCTGATTTTTTTTTTATTTCAGCATATTATGGGGGTACAAATGTTAAGGTTACGTATATTACCCTCCCCCACCCTCGAGTCAGAGCTTCAAGTGTGTCCATCCCCCAGGCGGTAGGCATCGCACTCATTATGTACACATATACCCGTCCCCTCTTCCCCCACCCACCCACCCAACACTCAATAAATGCTATTCCTATATGTCCAGATCTGATTTTGTTTTGAGTCTGCTTATAATGTGATCATGTTTAAAGAAACCTAAGTCACTCTGAGAAGAGGAAGAATCTGAGTTATGAGTTGTCCTCATTTATTACAAGTTTAGAAGTCATCCTTGACACCCACTGCCAAGGGAGGTAGAATAAATCTGCCGTGATGAAACCTGAGTCATGAACTCAAATGTGGCCAGGATCTCTGAGCAAGTGGATTCAGCATCAATAAAGAAAGCCTATACTATATGCCATGTGATCAGATTCAGGGAGTTGGGCTGAGTGTGGTCAGGTAAAGAGTGGTGGGTGAGAGCTCATTGCTTGTTCTTCCCCAGGAGAGCTGGGCTGGTGTAGGAGCGGTCAGAGCTGGCCAGGGCCAGTGCGGAGAGCTAGGCAGGCAGAGGCCTGCCCGACAAGCCCAAATCAGGGCCAGGATCAGCGAAGTCTGAGGCTCCATCCAATACGGACAGATGCATGCTTTGACTAGATGGTGTCATTAATATCCAGCTTATGGAGAATCCTAACAACCCCTAATTGGGGTCTAGGCATGTTCAAGCCTATCTTCAAAGGGCCTCTGGGAACTAGAATAGTGGCCAGCTCAAATTCCTAGAGAAGGTGTCACTGTCCTGTTCATTTCTAAAACAGGATTCCAGGACTCTGTGCCCACTGAGGCCCCACAGTATCAACAGAATGCTCCTGGCAAACAAATATTGCATTTGTGACTAAGATCAGCAGTATGGTGATGCTATATCACCATCATCACCGTCCCTTCTTTTTAAGAGGCATTTCATTTTTCAAAGCATTTTCATACATCTTTAGTTTCTTGCTCAATATTCACAACCAACTTGTAAGATAAGCAGATGGTAATTTCCACATTTTGCAAACGATCTGAGACACAGAGAGGTTAAGGCAGTGGTCCCCAACCTTTTGGCACCAGGGACCGGTTTCATGGAAGACAATTTTTCCACAGACAGGGGTGAGGGTGGAGGGGAGGAGGAGGCAGAGTTCAGGCGCTGATGGGTGATGTGAGCAATGGGGAGCTGCTGTCAATATAGACGAAACTTCGCTTACTCACCTGCCACTCACCTCCTGCTGTGCAGGCCCTGGTTCCTAATTTCATGGGTGGCAATTTTTCCATGGATGGGCTTGGGGCTGGTTGGTGAAGCTCTGTGGCCCCATCCCTAACAGATCACAGACTGATACCCAGAGGTTGGGGACTATAGAATTGAGGGATTTGATCAAGATCAGGAATTTAGTGTTAGAGTTGCAAATAGAACTCAGACATGCTGATTTTTAGTCTAAGATTGTCTATCCCCACAAACACATCAATAATGAATGAATTAATACATAATTAAAATATCCAGTCATTCCTTTACCCACCCACCATCATACATGTTTACCTACCCACTCACCCATGTATTCACCCATCCATCCAGTCATCCAGCCATCCTCCCAACCATCTATCTATCCATCCCTCCTACCATCCACCATCAATCTATATTTCTGGATGTATTCCACCGGGCACTGCATGATTCGGCCTCCCACATATATCTCCAGTGTCAATTTATACAATATCTCTCAGTATATAGACCCATCAGTATCTTAGTTGGTAACTTTCTCTGTTTTCTGAACTACTGTTGTTTTCTATCTATGTACCTACCTATTTATTAATATCTATCAATCTATGCCTAGCTCTGTCTCTCCCCTTCCCATTTTGGTGAGATTCAGGTGGAAGGGAACCTTCCTCATAGTACATTTACAGATGTGCATAGGCTGAGGTGTGGCTTCTCTGTGTATCCGCCTGGCATCTGGCCCACTGCCACAGGGGACCCGACACACTCTGCAGTGTGAGCCACTTCACTGGTCTTTTTCCCCCGGTGGTTATGGGAGAGAGCAAGGACTCTATCTTCTGTATCCCTTTATTCCCTATCCCTAAGCATAGTGTCTCGCTCGTGGTAGGACTCCAAAGTTTGAATTCAGTAAGTAATTAATTTAGTAATAGTAAATAGGTACTTAATTTATGCTCTGAAATAGGCTAAATATATCATGATAATGGCTAAAAGCATGGACATTACAGCCAGATAGTTACCCCTTTATTGGGCCCATTTCTTTCTCTTTGACCTTCAGGAAAAGGAAATAACTGCTTAAAACATTTGCTTTCTTAGATACAAAGTAGGTATGTAATATTATCTTACAGGGTGCTGGTGAATTGAAATGAATTTAAAACACTTAGAATGGTTTCTGCTACATAGTAAACACTCAAAAAAGGTGCTGTTATGATTAAGCTTCATCTTTTTCATTTTGTGGGTTAAACTTTTCAAATTTTTCTTTATTCATTTCTTTTTTATTTTAAAATTT